ACTCCACACTTTACCATTTTACCGCCATTCTTGGTGGAATAGGATCTGGCAGGTTTTTTACAAAAACAGTAGATAGAAGATTCGATTGAAGTCATGATTTAGTCTTGTACTAGTTACTAGGTCCAACTCGATGCAGCAACTGATCGGAAATCAGGGTTACGATTTGAAATAAAAGGTGGAATAAGATGAGGTAATGATCATATTATCCAATAGGCTCAAGTTGAGTCAYGGTGCATGTGACGAGACTAAGTTCTATTTTTGTTTTCATTTGCTTTCAGTTACAAAAAGTGGTCCCAGTGACATGTTACGACTATTTTCTTGGTGTAAAATTGAAATAAAAACGTTCTAGAATGAGTGATGCACTAAATTATCAATCCTATCCAGGGTCTTTTTAAGTTCCATTGTTTTAAAGTAGTTCCAAATTTCTGGTTCTAAATCTCTTCGAAGGTACTGCCGTTCCACGAAACAGTGATCACAATGAGTTGATAGAAAATGCGGTGAAAACGGATTCCTAAACGTGTTTGTTTTGATCCGAGYTATCGCCTCGGTACAATTTTGACACTGTAGAAAATATTCTTTTGTTAACGCGTGGCTTTCTGAGTTTGGACAATTCTTTTGCATTTTCCCCCTTTGCGTTGTGTTTTCTATGACTTGAATCGTTGTTCGCGCTTAATCACAGTGGAGTCTATGAGCCAAGTTGAGACTAAACTAAAACCTTTTTGCCGTGATACACGTTTTTTTAGGTCAAAAAAAGAAAAAGAAAAAAATTTTTTTATAAAAATAGAAACACGGTAATGATTAATTAAAGTTGGAGCATTATCTTTTTTATCCCCATCAACACCCTCTTCACCATTTTCTCCCTTTTCATTGGTCATATTATAATTGTAATCTGAATTTGAAGTTTGAGTTTACTCCATGCTCTTTATGATTTTACCATCAAACAAAAAGACRCACACACAAACAGAATTCTTGTTCACAATTTTTATTAGAAGTTCAGCAAAATGATTACTTGATTACACTATATATTTATATACAGGTTTTCTTTCTTTCTTTTTTTCTTAATTACAATTCTTGAATAAGTTGTTCATGATTTATTGATTCATAACTCGTCAAGTCAACTTCATTAAGGTAGTCTTGATGATAACGATGTTTTAAAATGACTTGGAAAAAATAATATTTGGTAAAATCAATCATTTGTTTATCTAGTGACTCTACTAATTTTTTTTGATTACTTATCTCTTTAAAAGAGGAATAAAATTTAATGCTATGATCAATTTTCATAAAATGACCCTTATCGTCAAACCTGTTTACACAATAAATCAATCCTCTGTCGAGATAAGTTACTAGGCATGTTTCATGAACGAATTCGCTAATGCCATATTCTTTACAACACATTAAATTATATTTTTCTTCAAGTCTTTTGTTATTCACTGAGCGTTGGTGCTTGCATAGGCCACATTTTTTCCCATTTATCTAAAAAAATTTGGGTTGCAAAATATCAAATCAGAAATGTGATATTTCATTAGCAAGATAAAAGGCTCATAAACATTTAAACGGCTACGACGAATTCGTTCAAGAAATTGAGCTGTAACAGGGGCATAATACTTTAATGAAAAAGTTTGCCTGCAATGAGGACATAGTTTTGGGTTTGTTTGACCTAGCATCATAAAATCAACTACACATTTGCTATGAATATATTTGTTACAACAAAGCATTTTATTTGAATCATACGTCTCTTGATTATCGTCCAGACA